GCTAGGTAATTTCAGTACTTTCCACTGTGGGATTGTAAGAGTGTACCGGATGTTCTCTACCTTTGTTTTTGGACAATAAAATAGAGAATAGTCTCAGATATAGCCTGCCATTTTTTGTAAACACTAGCAGCTGCCACGCCAATTAGCCATGCACTCGGTAATTGTATGCGGTCTTCCCTAATCCCCCAATTAGCTTCTTAATAGGGTCTGAAGAACCAAAGCAGAACAAATAAATAAAAACGCGGCAGGCCTGAGCTGCTGGAGCTCCATGAAGCAAAGTGCTCTTCCTGAGTGGCCTTTGGGTTTCTGCCGCACCACCGTGGTGGAGAGGCAAAGGAAAATACCAAGGAGGGAGAGATAGGAGGAGAAGGAGGAGGAGGAGGGAGGATTGTGACGGCTCTGAAGACTCATATTCAAATTGAAAGTGACAAATCTATGCCCTTTATTTCCCCGTCCAACTATCAGTTCTGTGAAATGCTAACATTCGGTGTGACAATGGGTGTTACAGTGACTTTTAGATGCGCCGCAGTTTGGGCCTGAAGGCCTCCCCATGGCAGAGGGTGATATGACACGATGGCACACTTGAGCAGATGATGAAGATGTTCCTGTTTTATCCCATTCTAGACATGATTTTATTACCCTCTGCTGATTATTTCCACATCGTTGCTGTTATGTTCCTCACTGCAGCAGTAATTTGATGATGCACACACTAGCTAAACATGCTATTCCACCAGAACAGTGGACAAAATACACAAATCTCGTACTTACTCAACATTACTCACATAAAAGTAGAAGTATTCTATTTCTACCTATGTTAAAATACAAACTGCTTTAAAATGTGCTTAACCATTGTGTGGTGTTGATGTTGTTGTTACTCAGTGGTCTGGTGGACCCAGAACATTATTCTTTTTTTTTTAAATCAATACAGCCATAACAATTTAGCCAGTCAGCAGACTGTCCATGTTGTCCACCCTCACACACACAAATACACAAACACACACACACACACACACACTAACAGCAGGCCATGTAGGAGGAGAACAGAGTAAAGGGACACAGCACCTCCACACTTTTACTCCCCGCGGGTTCACCCAACACCACATCTGTAATATAAATGTGTGGGGGGGGTGAACAGAGTGAAGACACTGAAAATGTGTTATTTTTTATGTACTTCACAGAAAATGAGTAAAGGTCAAGGAATCTGCGGGTTGAAATAATAATAAATCGCATCATTTTTTCTTTTGGTAAACATTGAAAATGAGTCCCACAGACCCCAACACCACACAAGGGTTAGGTTTCAAAGGTAAAAGTACTTAAAGTTATTCTAGCTATTGCCGTTCTTGTGTTGTATTATGTTGATGAACAATTTCTATTAGGTTAAAAACATGGGTTTATTCATAAAGAGCATTTATCAGAAACTGGCTACATTTTCACTTCTTCCTTTTGAGAGTATTTTACCTCCTTTAACTAAAAAAACAGTGTATTTGTGAGGAGTTTCAATTTTATCATTCTTTACTAGGATTTGCCATGATTTCCTGTGTGGTGTTTATTATGATATGATGCAACTTCAAAGACTGAACCGAAGCTTTTAGGCATCAAAAGTGGCTTAAGCTGGATCATGTATCACTTACAAATGGAGTGGAAACCACACCCCACATGGCACAAATGACATGCTGGGCGAATACTGGAGCGTACCTAGATAAGTGATTAATGACACATTCATGCAGAAAGTAGTGGAGTAAATGTACGATAATTTACTATAAAACATGAGTGATTGTAAAAGGTCCTTTCATGACATTTGTGCAGTTTAATGTACCAAAAATAAGTAAGTAAATAAATAAATAAATAAATGTCATTTCTGTGTGGTGTCTGCCTGTTCTCCCCGTGTCTGCGTGGGTTTCCTCCGGGGTACTCCGGTTTCCTCCCACAGTCCAAAGACATGCAGTCATGCTGATTGGACATGCTGAATTGCCCCTAGGTGTGAGTGTGTGTGTGACTGTGTATGTCTGTCTGTCTGCCCTGCGATGGACTGGCGACCTGTCCAGGGTGTATCCTGCCTTCTGCCCAATGACAGCTGGGACAGGCTCCAGCACCCCACCGCGACCCAGAAGAATAAACGGTTTAGATGATGTATGTATGTATGTATAAATAAATAAATAAACAGGCTGTTTTTGTTACTGTGCCTTCAAGACTGATATATGTCAATGACCTCTGTTCTGGTTGACTGTCCTGTATTGTGCCTCATTCAGAAAGCAGTCTGGGCTGAAACACTCCTTTAACATGAGTGAAAGAAGCTAAACTGTATCCTGAATAGGTGGGTATATGTAGATGCACTAATTTTTATGACATCACAAAAACAATGAATATAAAAGCAGGCTGTTTTTTCAGCTTTTCGTTTGTGGACTGCACAAACCGGTGCATTTTGAAATTTTAACATTTGTATACTACATCAACTTTATTATTATTAAAAAAACTGACACAATTCCATGTTTTCCATAATATGGGCCCTTTAAGAACAGCCACAAAGTACAGCACTTCGTTACTGACCACCTCTGCTCCAACACATCTTTTTTTCTTTCTTTCTTTTTTTGGCACCTCTCTGGCCCTGCCCATAAAACACACAGCAGGGTTTGGCCTCCTCCCTCTCACGGCTATCTGTGACAGAGTTTTCTACAGTAACCATCTGAAAAACGCACGTTTGAGCCAAAGGTTTATATTGTGACTAGCAGTCCTTCTCAGCAGGTACAGTCCATGGTGTATGTGTGTGTGTGTTTGTGTTTGTGTGTGTGAAGTATGAGTGCTGACAGTTAAGTCTGCTCCTCACACACATAAACACACAGCACTTCAGCGGGGGATCCCAGCAGTACACCGCTGTTTTCTTGTTCTGCTACACAGACAGACAGAGAGAGAATACAGGCACCATCTAGTGCTTTATTAAAGAAAAGCCCATAAGAGAAACACAAGATGCAGTCTGTTAGGCTCTTTGCACAATCTTGGGGTGAAAAACATTAACTTAAAATAAAGAAAAAAGAAAAACATATATGCTTATGCCTTAAATGGCCCATATCTTACTTTTTTGTAAATTGTATTTGATTTTTCTGAGGTCTGTTTATGATGTTTGTGTCACTTTATGTACCCAAAACAGTTGCAGTTCATTTTTACATGACCATCTCTCTTTATTCCTTAGAATTAAACAGGCTGTTTTTGTTGCATATTTGTAAATGACCTCTGTCTGCACTGTATTGTACCTCATTCAAAAGCTGTCCAAACTGAAACACCTCTTATAACTTCAGGTTGAGTGGCAGGGGCTAAACTACTGTAGGCTAAATAGGTGGGTTTGTGCAAATGTGTTGGTTTTCATGACAGTTTAGTGTCCATTTATGGACAGCATGGACTGGAGAGCAGGTACTACATTTTTACAATGTTTACATTTTAACAATGTTTACAAACAACATCAAACTTTTTTTCTTTCAAAAAAAGCAAAGTAAATTCAGTTTTCCATGAAATGGGCCCTTTAAAATTACTGAAGTACCCTAGTTTATCTGCCAGTAACCCAGCCTCTGTAAGCACTTACAAAGAGAAATCATTAGGCCTACTCCAACTTGTGTCAAGGCCAAACAGAGACCATTATGAGTAAGTGTACTGTTTCACTGGCATGTTGTGCCGAGGGACAAACACAGGCTCAGTGTCTGAATCCCATCCAGCAGACATTAGTAATGCTCTTCTGAGGTCATCCAAAACGGCAGAGATGAATGGCCAGGAAACCTCCAGTGACGTGTTTTCTAAAGTCTGTTTCTCTTAGTAGATGGATGACCAGAGTACAATTTCACAATAAGATTAAACAGAAATGTTTTATTGGTGACCTTAAGTGTCAACTAGAGCGTGGAAAGGATTTAAAGTACTTTGAGAAACTGTGTATATGAGTGAGAAACTAAAGAATGTGTGTCTCTACCTCTAAACTACAGCAGGGCTGCCCAGAGTTTGTATTATATATACTATACACAATATGACTTATTACATTTTCCTTTCACATTTGTATGTGTTTCACCCCTTAAAATTCCAAGCTTAGTACACAGGCTTATTATTCAGTAACTACAGTGACTTCAATGCAAACTGGTTGAGTTATTCTTAGGCTATGGAAGTGTGCAATAAAATGTTGGGCCCACCGGCAGCCTGTGGCCATGTAAAGGTTTAAAGTAGATCTAATTTTCTAACAACATATTTTTGAAAACTAGAATTGAAACTTCTTTGTGTATAATCTTTTTGGTTGTCAGCCCAACACAATCACTGCACAAAGAGACACAAAGTTTGGGCACATCAGAACTCTCTCTCTCTCTCTCGTCATCGTTGTCTGAACAGAATCTTGTATCTCCATTTTTGACGTTTTTCGGTTTTTGACATAATTTAAAAATACTTGTTGCTGTTTACATTATATGTAAAGTTTATAAAGAATGGTCCAAAAGAAATGACCCAAAATGACTCGGAAAAAAGTCTGGCTCCATTGACTTACATTAAAATTAAAGTATGTTTTTTTGCTTCTCCTGTAAAGTTACCATTTTGGAGATATAAGGTTTTCTTCCAACAACAGCGATGTATATATATATATAGAGAGAGAGAGAGAGAGAGAGAGAGACATATATGTATGTATGAGTACATACATATATGTACATACATGTGTGTGAACACATATATGTATAGACATATGTTGTGGACAGAACACAGTATCAGTGTTAAAGAGATTTATTCTAAGGTCTCTAGAATGATAAAAAAACACATAACGTCTTCGTGCTGAAATGCAGGTAGGCTGGAATAAAGGGTAGAAAGCTATTTTTCAGTTTCAGTCCAGAATATTTTGTCATATTCGCAGGAAAAAAAACTGTTGGATGGTTTCACTCTGTGAATGATGTGTGTGTGTGTGTGTGTGTGTGTGTGTGTGATTTAAACCCACTCTCTCAGGCTAGAGAGCTCAAATCTCGCAAGATCTCGCGAGATCAACGGTGTGCTCTCTGGGCCAATCAGAAACATGCAATCCTGGAACACGACGAAAACATGGCGGCGTCGTGAGAGGATATTCATGCCATAACAAAGCCGGGTTTCTCACTAAATATAACAAACACGACTTGAATGCGTTCAAAGTGAATGAGTCAAACGCTGAAAAGAAGCCTCAAACAATGTGTATCTGTGATATGTAAGCATGACAGACAGGAGGAGCGCCGCTAGTCGCTCTGCGTCAGATACCACCAAGGAAAGCTGGAGCCGCGTCTCTAAACTTTCCCAGGACAAATTCAAAGCAAAGAAATACAGCAAAGGCCGAAAACAAGCCCAGTCTCCGTGTTTAGGCACCTCGTTTTATTATCGGAAAGGTAAGGGGTCCAATAAGTGCGACTCGGAGCTGTTACGCAGTTTAAATACGTTCCAGAAAATCTATCTTAACCCAGCGTGAGATTAGATTGAATAGCAGTTCAGGAGCTTTGCACAGGGAGTCAGTCTGAGTCTCACTGGCTGGGATATAAGATTTCAGTACAGCTTTGGCGATGTTAACTAGAGATCTCTAGTTATTATTAACCGAATCCGATGTCTTTACTGCCAAGTTGGCCGATTTATACATATGTAAACTCCAGTATTCGATGTAAACATAACCTAGGCCTGCACTGTGCAGCCAAAGTTATCATATAAGTAACATTATATGCTTCTTAATGGGCCAAATTAGCATTTTTAATCTTTAAATGAAAAACCACTTTTAAATAACGATGAATCAAATACATTCCTACATTAAAAGTAAGAGGCAGCTGGCTATTTTGTATTTTTATATTCTTTTCATCAGTTTTTCATGTGTGCTTATATGCAGAGTAGCAGTAGAGCTGGGCGATATGACAGTATTTATCATTATCGTGATAAATTACATCACAGTATGTCACAATATGCTTTTCTGAGCATATCATGGATGTAGTCAGTACTTAAACTCTTACCGACAGCATATTTCAATAAAAAGAGAGCATAGTTAGTCCTTTGTCATATGTTTAGCACAGCACCGTGTGAAATATTAAGTAATTGGATTGATAATTTTATATAGTATTTTTTAACATGTGGCAATGCGTTGTCTGTTCTAGCTTATCAGATGTCAGGAAAAATAAATATTGTGACGCATTGTGTATCGTAAAAAAACGTCCTGAAAATTATTGTGAAATTATATCTTGCCATATCGCCCACCTCCAAACAGTTAGTTTTATAGAGGAGATCCATCACAAGTTTCCCTTTTGAGTCTTGGGCCTGTGTTTATGAAGCATCTCAGAGCAGAAGTGCTGATCTGGGACCTGTTCTTGTTAGTAAGATCATAGTGAATATTAAGAGGTCTCTGATACTAGATCAGCACTCCTGGGTACAGACCCTTGGTTCCTGTTTTAGGATGTTTTTCCTGCATGTTTTATTCTAAGCTTAAACCTATTAATCTCTATAAGTTTGCCACAACATTAAGTAGAGAAGGAAAGATCATAGAGGTAATGGCTACACCATTACCTCTAAGATAAGTACCTAAGTACATAAGCTAACTTTGTGAGGGGAGAAATCTTTTGGATTCAAGCCTGAAACACAGATTAGTTGGATTTCTAGAATTATAAGAAACACTGTAGTGGTGCAGTTGTGTAAATCTTATGTGTGCAACCAAATGCAGTAAACTTTGTTTAAACATGAGAACAATAACTGTTATCACTTATCACTTATTAGACTTAGAAACCCCAAAACGCCAATCGAGGAACAGATTTAATGGATGCAGCACTGGAGATTCACCAAGTGAGGCTGAAGCTCTGCAGGACATCATTTGGGATCCTGCTTCACCACCTGCAGTGTGGAATGGCAAGTGTATTGCATAATAACACCATTACTCCACCTGGATGAAATGTTTGAATTGCTTATTATTAAGTGTTCAGTTTTGCCTTTGTTTTTACACCACAAAATGCATAATGATATGGTTAATGAACATCTTCATAGGAAAAGGAGCAGGAGAAGGTGTCCGAGTCGTGGAGATATCTGATATTGTCAACAGGATAGCACCAAAGGTAAGTAGTGACTCTGTGATAATACCTGCTATTCATAGCGTCTGCAGCATTGATATAAGACTGTATCATTTGATGTGAAAGGATGAAAAGCCTGTGGACAGAGATTTGGTGCTTCAGTGGATTGGAGACAGTGCCATTCCCTGCACTCCAGAGGTCCAGCAACCACGAGTTCGGAGGATCTCAGCACGGTCAGTATATGGTCATCATTTACATAAGTTCTCCTAATCTATATTCACACTCATATCTACACTTACCTACCATATTGGTGTGCTTTGTAGGTTTACAATTACTGACTGCAGCTCATTTGTCGCTGTACAGTTTATCAACCCCCTCTACCCTGTCGGTACCCTGATCCAGGAAGATTTATTGTCTTTGTCAATAAACAACAATATTGCATTGGATCTCAGAATGGTGCTATTTATATATGTCAATAGAAAATATATAAAATAAAGTAGGCACTCTCTTTTGTCTGCACTCACATTCACATTCCTCCACAACATTCACATTCCTCCAGTGCGTAATAGCAAAGTTATTGGACTGAGTGGACCACCATAGGACCACTACTGACCAAATGTTTTTGGTTTTGGGTGGTGGACCATTCTCAGCACAGTAGTGACAACAACATGATAGTGCCATAGTAATGCATGTTGTGCTGCTATGATTTTATCAGGTACTAAACCTTTGCACTGGTCACTTGGGCCAGATGATACTTTTGAAAAAGGAAATATTTATTAAAAACATTACATTGCCTTTGTGGTGACTATGGTGATCCCCCTTGCTGATCTGGTAAGCCGAACTCCAAACTATCTAGGTTATCATTAATTACTATTTAGCTACTGCAGTGATGGACTCCCTATGTAACACCTTCTTATTTATTAAGTTAATATAACACCTTAAGACTTACTTTCATAGTGATATAAACAATCTTAAGCTAGTGGAACAGCATCTTTCATGCCAGGTTGGTGGGACCACAGGCTCTGTGTTTTTAGTGGCTAAAATGTGACGTGTTGTGGGGCACTGAACGTTAGGCCATGTCCACCCCTCGTTGTTGGGATTTTTCGATATCATGGCTGCGTTAAGAATACTAACATAAATTATGCATTAGAAAAAATTGAGTTATTGTCACCTGCAAGGTGTTTAAACAAGATAAGTGTGTTTAATGAAGTGGCCAGTAAGTGTACAAACCTAAAGCATTGCTTTTTGCCTGATACTCAGCACCCATGATACCTGCTTCCATGCCACTACCATTTCTTTGTCTTTACTGTGATCCACCACCCAAATAATGGTGGTCATGGTCCTATGGTGTTCTCTTTTAATTGATTGCCAGCCTAGAGGGGGGCTGATAAACTGTATATCAATACATTCAGTAACTATAAACCTACAAAGTAAGTTTATATGGTAGGTATTTCTCATAAAATGGCTAATGAGTGTAGGCAAAAGGTAGATGTACCCAATGAACTGGCAACCCACTTAAATCTAATCTTTCTTCTACACTTATTCCTTCCTTAAGCCGTCAAAGCAACAACGTTGAGGATCTCATGAAACTTGCTAAGCAGTTTGACATCAACATGACCCGTCAGGATGAAGAGAGGCAGCTGGAGAACAAAGGAAGAAACACAGAGGGACCAAACAAGTTAGACAAATCTGTTGCCAGCCATTCAGTGTTGGATGGCATTGAAACTTTAGCTGGAAAGCAGGTTCCTGTTCCAGCCAAGCCTGAAGGACTAAGCCATGAAGAGGAGCTGCATGCTCTTTTTGATGGGCCCACCCAGTACCTGAGCGGTAGACTAAGTCCTCCGTCAGTGAACGGTTCACAGGAGAGCAGGACTGAAGCAGACTCCGCAGGTAGCAAGGACGTCCCTGAAGATGCTGCTCAAGTACCAAAACCATACTTTGATGATGACTGGGAGAATGACGATTTGCTCAATGACTCCTTTGTGCTAGAGATGACTCAGAACCCAGATCTTTCGTGCTCAGGTCCAAAGAAGACAGGGTCTGTTACGTCCAGCAAATGTAAACCAATGAATGTCGCCAGTCCATCTGGATCTGGCAGCAGAGCCAGCTGCTCTCCACTGCTACAAAGTAGTAGAAGCAATCGCTACACTAGGATCTTATCGAAAGCTCCGTGTACCAACCCGAGCACTTTTAGACCACAACCAGTTGCTCCTGTTAAAACTGGAATTTCTCAACAGCTGCCCACAACTAGCCCTGATCTGGCCAAAACAGAGAGGTCTGAAAACAATCAGGCACAGGCACAAATATCCCTCTGTAAGAGGCAGCCTGTAAGTGACTTTGGTAGAACAAAGAGGGAGATTAAAGGCATCGTGGGAGCCAAAAATTCAGACAGTTTGACTGGTGCGTCAGGGCAGGACTTTAAGACGCTGGACTCTGTTTGGGGTGATGGAGATGATGACGATCTGCTGTATCAAGCCTGTGATGACGTGGAGCGAATCTCAGCCAGTCAAGAGGAGCCAAAGCAGAACGACTGTGCCGATCTCGAGTCCAACAAACCCACAAAAGCACCTTCATCGAAAGACACTACTTGTTTTTCAAATACCAGTGTTAACAATAATACTCGACCAGGCCAGCCCACGAGAGCCCAGCCAGGTCGCACGCATTTTTGGCCGCTCACATTCAATACCGGGTGCTTCAAGCACATTTGGAAATAAACAGAACTTGCATGAAACTTCACAACCGAGTCGCAATCCTCAGCTTAATAGGCAGTACCGATTTACACAGGTGAAGAAAGCCTCTGGAGTTGTGCTTCACCCCCAGTGGACTACGGGTGCAGTGCAGGAAGTCAGCACGCGTGACCAATCTGCAGAAAGTTCCTCCCATCATTCCACATTCAAGAGACATCAGTCTGACCCTGTTGCTCTGGGCAACAAAGGTAAGCATTGTACTGTGTTAGCATTAAAATTTCATTAGAGACCACCCCTACTGGGGATAACTGTAATAAGGAAGTTTGTGTAACTCATTAGCCATTTTTCATCCTGGTTCTTACTCTGATGAGTGGCTGGGTGTTCATGCACGGGGACAATGGGGGTTTGCTGTACGGCTATTTGTGGTTCTCAGGTTTTCTGTTTAATTGTAAACTAGCAAACTGTGCATTTTTTTACTGAATGCTTGTCAGAGACAGACTTTGGTCCAGTGTTACGTGAGGTTTGACACGTTTTAAAAATGTTATTGTTTTCTCTGTGTTTTGACCTCCTGACTACATGAAAACACAGTTTTATTAGTTAGAGTCTCTCTGGGTGGAGATTGTTGAAAAGTGTTTTCATTGTTTCAGTGTCTGACATCATGCTGTGAATTTGCACATGATTGTTGCTGTTCTCATTTAATGAACATGCCAAAATATGGATGATGTACAGTGGACAGCTGGGCTGTATCTGGGTGCTCAGCAATTTGGGGATGATAACATGTTTGTTTAGCTCTATTTAGCTTTACTTCTTCTTTACGCCACAGTGCAGAGGATTTAGAATCTTCTGTGCTAGATTCTTTTAAATCATGCGTCAACTCGACTGCCAATATGAAAATCATCTCAGCGATTCTAATGATATGTGACTTGATTATTATTGAGTCAAATTTGGAAAACAAATACTGCATAATTCAAAAGGAGGGAAAAGCTAGAAAAATCCACTTCTTTTTAAGATTATTTTGTAGCAAAATCAGACTTTGAATGTGAGACATCAAATTACAGCCTGTGTTAAGTCAGACAAGCCCATTGAGTTCTTGAGTTTCGTGCTTTTGTGCTTTACGACACGCTCAGGATTTTGTTAGTTTGCATGCTTGTAGAGTTCTTCTCGAGACTTTTCCGTCACAACGTTGGCATTTTTGTGTTTGGGTAGTTTTTGTGTTCTCGTGTGGACAGTTTTTGAAAATGCTGTTGATGTGGATACGTGAATACATGTGGATGAGGTTGGAACCTACAAAATGCACAGACAGCATTGCTTTTACTTTTGCTTTTATTATTATTTTTTTTTATTTCAACATTTGCATAAGTTTAAGAAGGAACAAGAGAAAGGATCAAACAATTGGTAAAATTAAATTAATGGTCACATTTATTTGGATGGCCCCCTATAGATGCTCTACAGTTACAGGTTCAGATACATCATTAACAAATTTTCTGGTGATATTCAGTTGATTATCAACAACATTTATGGTTAGGCTTAGGGTTAGGAGTAGATGTAGGTTTTGCCTTGAGGTTAGGTTTAGGGTTAGGGATAGATCTTTCACACTCAACTTGAAGTTCAGTTGCATTTAATGGAAATTTAGTTACATGTTACTTAAATATATACTGGGCATTTACAAAACATCTACAGTGGACCATCAAAATAATGCGTTACCAAATGAATTAAGGAAGACATTGGCGTAATGGGCTGAAATCCAATTAGCTTGTTACTGGACAGTGGATGCAGTTACTCTGTGCTTATCGTTATTGTTTACAGGCTCTATAATTCGTCTCATTCTGTCTTTTTTAATGATGCATGCGGTTGTTCAGTATACTAGTACTGAAGTACTGACAGTGCCCATGAAATGCTCAACACTGTTATTCATCACAAGTATATCTTGGTCAGTAGCATCTCATCATATTGCCCAACCATACCTGACATTGTTGTTTTGTGTCTGCAGTGTTTGTTGCAGCCCAGCCTGTTGTGAAGTGCACTGCTGCTGAGATTGAGAGAAAGAAGCAGGAAGCCATAGCCAGGAGAAGATCACGACTGCAAACTACCCAAAAGCCTGGAGCTCCTACATAGACCACCACAGAGGAATCCAGCTTCTCGGAATGAGTGGTTTAGGCCCACTGAAAGTGTAGTAGACCAGTTTAGGTCATTGATTCTGTCTGACAGAGTTTTGCCTGATAACATAGAACACTTTCAAATGCTTTTTTTAAAACTGCTTGACTGAACCTCTACACCCATGGTAATTTACGTTAAAACACTAATTAGCCTAATGAAACAAATCACATTACAAAAGTATTTTTCTCTCTCCAGTCCAGACATTTCTCAAGAATAATGAAACAGAAGTGCTAGTTGTGAGTCAAGTGGTTTTACATCTGCCATTGACTTGTGGAGGAATGCATAGTTGTATGCAAAACTTTGGGCACCCCTGGTCAAATGAGTGTAAATAAGTGAACACATCCTCTATAGAAAATACACTTCTGCACATTTTCATGCACAATTACTGTTTATTTGCTAAGTTTAACATATTGGGGGGTAAAAACCAAAATGTGTCCTGTGCAAATGTTATGGCACATTTAATAATTTACTTTATGTTAAAGTAAATAGAAATTGTGCACTAATGTGTGCAGAAAAATGGCAAATCGTTCTCTGTAGAGGATGTGTTCATTTATTTTCACTAAGAATTTTTTCAGTTGTGTTCAAACATTTGCATATGAAGCAGTAAAACTCAGTCTGTGATCTGAATACTGCCTGGGCAAAACTCCAGTCTTTCATTTAGCCTCATTATAAGGATGCATAGATAATGTGATTTGTTAAAAAGTTTAATTTTTCTTCTAAATCAAGGCTGGCTGTATGTTGTACTGGGTCTTACCTAGTGCAAATGACAGGTTCTTTCTAAGATACAGGCAGATTGGGTGCAGTTGGCATGCTGTGAAAGGCAATCACGGAGGAGGCTTCATCATTTAATGAAAAAAAAAGGAAAAAATAAAGTAAAAAGAAGCCCAAGATTGTGTTATACCTACAGATCAGAGATGAGGTCTTTGATCTTTGTCTTTTTTTCTATGTCTATAGTTCTGTTTTTGATTTAATGTAACCAGAGGGTAAAAAAGAGAGGAAAAAAAAGAAAATGACTGTAAAAAAAAAAACATTTACAGATGACGGTTCCCCTCTATTAAACTTCTCAAAAACATTTTTTAGCCTTTGTCATTATTCCTAATAATGTAAAATGTGAGAACGTCCAGACTAATCCAAAATTGAATGTTGTTATATGTCAAACGATGACATTGCCAGTTTATGTGTAATGTTCTTAAAATGTAATTTGTGAAAATTAAGTCCTTTTTTTTCACTTTTAATGAGGAAACTCTCTCAGGATCCTGCACACCTGGTGCATTATACATGCCACAATGTTAGTCATTGTTTGCCCAGGGGGAATGTCTGTATATCAGATCTAGGCCTCACCATTCTCAGGTGTAAGGCACACAGGTGTGTATGTGTATGTGGGTTTGCGCTCCGTGAGTCAAGATATCCTCGCGCAGTGCTCTCCTCCTCCTCCTGCTCAATTACTGTAAATCAAATGGCACAGTAATTTGGCATGAGGATGAAGGCTTTTTTATTACTGTGATTATGGTTATGATGATGACTACAATTTATTCCAAGCAGATGATGAAAACGCTGCACCCAACAGGTGTTGAGTTGCCACAATATAGAAGTTGGTGAAGGATTTTCAGTAATGTGGCGTTATCAAGCTGCTGGTGGACAGTGTAATGGGTGCTTAAGAATTTTTTTCTTTTTTTTTTCTCCTCCTAAAAACTAGGGAGCAATTACTGATTATTGCGATGGACCCGTGCCATACGAAGTCAGCTTTGTGGAGCAGGAGTGATCATCTGCAGCGGTGGCATACCCTGGTATCAAGCTGTAGCAATTATGGCAAATTACCACACGCTGGTGCCAGAGCTCATTTACGTTTCTTCGTTCTTGTTGGTGCGTTTCAGACGCAAGAGAGCGGCCTAATCGGCATGGTGTTGGAGATGAGAAGCTCATTTGGAACACGGTATCCGTTAAGAGGCTTGAATGTTCGGTCGCAAAATAGAGTGAAACTTGCTTAAATATCAACATCAGGATGTGTGGAAAACTCCACATATAAGTTTTCACTTTTCTGAAAGTGAGAAATGAGTACAACTTTTCAAAAGGAACCGTTCTGAAAGACTTGTTGAAAGGAAAGTGCACAATGTCTGTTTAACATAATGTTAACCAGTGGAAAAAATATTACTTTATTTAATATGTTTAATATGAATTTAATATGTTGAGAAACATACCTTTGCAGGTATATAAAAATCTCTAAGCTTTTTATTTTTTTTAAACAACTTGAAAACACTGTCTGCCATTTACATTGTGCACATTTCATGACAAATGGACCAACAGAAATGGTCCAGAATATACTTTCTGGCCAAAAATATGTGAACACCACTGTTAATTACTGAGTTCAGGTGTTTCAGCCACACCCACTGCTGTCATGTATAAAATCAAGCACATAGCCATGCAATCTCAATGGACTAACCCTGGCAGTAGAATGGGTCGTACTGAAGAGCTCAGAGGCGTTAAACATGGCACTGTCATAGAATGCCACCCTTGTCACAAGTCAGTTTGTGAAATTTATGCCCTGCTAGATCTGCCCTAGACAACTGTAAGCACTATTATTGGGAAATTGAAGCATCTAGGAACAACAGCTCATGCACAAAGCGGTAGACCACTCAAACTCACAGAGCGAGGCCTTCAAGTGCTGAAGTGCATACTCTTTACAGAGTTCCAAACTGCCTGTGGAAGTAACGTCAGGAGCTTCATGAAGTGGGTTTCTATTGCCAAGCAGCTAAACACAGGCCTAAGATCACTATGCGCAATGCCAAGCATTGGCTGGAGTGGTGTAAAGCGCCACCACTGGACTCTGGAGCAGTGGAAATGTGTACTCCGGAGTGATGAAGCTGGCAGTCTGATGGACTATTCCTGCTAGAATGCAGTGCCAACAGTAAAGTTTGGTGGAGGAGGGATAATGGTCTGGGGCTGTTTTTGAGGGTTTGGGCCTCTAGGTTCCAGTGAAGTGAGATGTTAATACTAGCGCATGCAAAGACATTTTACACATGTATATTTATTTTTCAGTGTCTGGAAAAAAACAAAAACATCTATCTTGGCGTCTGAATATTAGTTGAAGTTGTTCAGTATTTAGTGTGTCAACTTTTTACAACTTCTTCTTTTCTAGAGACTTGCTTTCAATTTTTCAAAAAATCTGCAGGGATATTTTTCCACACCTCCAAAGTTCAGTCTTAGACGTTTGTTGCACTTTCTGTTAAATACAATTCAAGTAATCCTAAATGCATTCGATGCAATGTTGAGATCTGGCAGTGCCAACCATAAAGTTTGGCGGAGGAGAGATAATGGTCTGCGGTCTGGTTTTTCAGGGTTTTGGCCTCTTGGTTCAGGTGAAGGGTAATGTTAATTCTAGCACGTACAAAGGCATTTTACACATTTATATGCTTCTAACATTGTGGCAACAGTTTGGGGATGGCCTCTTCCTGTTCCAGCATGACTACCCAATCAGTACCTGACTTCACAAATTCTGACTGAATGAGCACAAACTCCTGCAGACACACTTCAAAATCTTGTGGAAAGCCTCCCCAGAAGAGTCGAGGCTGTTATAGCCACATCTCCATATTAATGCCCTTGGTTTTAAAACAGGATGTCCAACAAACTCGGTCAGGTGTCCAGCGTGACCATATAATTTATTTCGGAATATAATCTCATAATATTACCAAACATTAAAGTTACATTTGCTTTTTTTCTTCTTCTGTAAAGTTACTATTTTGGAGAGACCAGGTTTCCTAATGGCAGCAATGATAATGCACACTGTCATGCAGACTTGCTCTCCGTCTCATCAGATGAGTGCTCCTCCAGTATTGAACACAGCTGCCTGAGATAACATCTCACAAACAGATCAGCAATAGCTTTCCCATGCAATAAGCTGTGCTGGAAGAGGTTTGTTTCCACAGCATTGCCCACTGCAGGTTAGTGGCCCAAAAGCATGACTAATACAGAAAACAGTCGGGTGAGGGGGCAGAGGGGGCTGTAGTTGTCATCAAGCTAAATGAACTGTGAATATTTTCACAGTGTGTGTCATTAGCAGCTTAGATTTGTTTCAACAAGGCTTACCTGAGGGCTCTATTCATAGGCCCCCAGGTATGAATGGGCTAATGCACACTCTGAACCCTCTAAAAAAAAGGCCTCTCCACACTACTCACTGTGTGCGTGTTTGCAGTGGAATGTTTTAAAGGAGAAAGTATGCTCACGAATGTCATTTACTGCTGTAGATTAGTTTGTGTACACATGAACAAAGCTGAATTGTTTTGAAAAAGACACTTTTTCTCTACTAGCACTATTCTACCATTTGCATCCTACTTGGTTTCTTGCTTTTTTGTTTTTATACAGTACTGTGCAAACATCAGAGACCAACATTCATCTGTACTTCCAGACAAAAGAGCTATTATGTTGAAGTTATTTATTTTTCAGTGTCTGGACATGTATCAGTGTATCTAGATAATATGTAAAGTTGCTCAGCATTTAGCGTGAGACTTTTCGAGAGACTTGCTTTCAAGTTTTAAAAAAATCTGCAGGGATATTTTTCCACACCTTCAAAGTTCAGTCTTAGAAGTTGGTTGCACTTTCTGTTTCTTACAATTCAGCTAATCCCAAACGCATTCGATGCAATGTTGAGATCTGGACAGTTCATATTTCTGATAAAGCCACAGCTTCTTTAGTGAAAGGATAGAAGGAAACACCTGTGGATTTTTCAGGATTTTAAGCTTTAAGTACTGTTTATCTGATAGGCGCAGTTTTGGTCGTTATTAGGAATCTTTTAATCACTCCAGTTGTGGAAACTGCTATATTTTTGCTTATTTTCCTTTCACTTTCCCCTTACTGGCTGTTTTAACTGGAAATTTCATAAATCGTCTCTGGGTGGTCTCTGACATTTGCACAGCATTGTAAATATGTTTATCTTTTCAAAACTATGCAAGCATGTGTGAGAAGCAAACTGTGTACCACGCTCAGCATACTTTTCAGGTTCACCCAGCTTTTGGCATGGAGCATTGATTCTCTCGACTGTAACCTTCGTAGCTTATGTTTTGCTGTTTTTTCCCTCTTTTTTTCCTTATCTGATCTCTCATCTAGATGTTCCCTCATTCAGGTCTATTAGGCTTGCTGATAAGAACCCACAGACTAAACTGTTTTTTTTTCCCCCTTCAAACTACGCTCCCAATTCGATGAACTTTCTCCAGCAAATAACCTTTTAGCTGCATTCCTTAAGTCTACATCTGCCAACACCTTCTTGCTACACTGGTTTTGTCTTTTTTCCCCCTTTGCATCACATAATATGGTGGTGGGGGCTGAAATGGTGTGTTGACAGCTTTAGGCTGAGGTCATTTTTTGGTACCCTTTGCAGTTA